ACAACTCATTTTCACCCTTCCTTATACAAAATATAGTCTAAAACCTATCCTCCCTTTGCTGCCATTTTCTTATCAGGAAATCCCTCCTCTAAATACTTCCATCTCTTTACTTAAATCTTCTTCCAAAACAAACCCAAGACACCTACTGTCTCCCTGAATCCATTCAGCCCTGATTCCCCCTCCTTCCACCTTGAGTTGAAGCCTAACACTCACAGACCGCACCCACCACTAAAACCTCATACCTCACGACTCTCCTTTCTCTCACCATCATCACCTCCTCTACAAACGCCTCCCTTGCCTCTTTAACAAGGAAAGCTAACTCTGCATCTTATGCCACACACCTATCAAGCCCTGCTACTCCCATACCATCCCCTTTATGTTCAAGTAAATGTCCACCGCCATCGGACATTGGTCAAAGTAAATGTCCACCGCTATTGAACATTGTTCCCGTCACTAGACATTGTTCAAGTACTATTTACTACTTAAAGAATACAAAGTTCTAGGTACTACAGTTGGGAAAAGACATGTATTAGTACTATTCAGTGCAAATTTCACTAAAAAAGTATAGTATGTCCATTTACAGTTTCATGCTTAAAATAAAAGGGATGGTTAGCTTTCAAATTTACTCTTTTGAAGACCTGCCAAATTGGCACTCCCCACTACCATTTTCAACGCACACATATTTCTATACTCCACCCATCCTATATTTTTCTTTATGATATCCTTTTTGGGATGTCCCAAAATTTTCTTCATGTTTCCTTTTATGGAACCAATATTGTGGTTCATATCTTTTTCCTCTCCATGAGTCTCAACCACACAATTTTTACTTTATCACAAAGCGAGCCATATGAATGTGAGAAGAAAATTATGGGACAGAGGGAGTATTTGGTTTATTTCTATATGGCTCATGTTTTTTATGCTTTGTTTTTATGCTCTTGTTTAAAATTAAATAGGGCTTTTGATGGGTAGAAATCAATTGTGTTTGTGTGTAACTTATTTGTTTGTTTGTTTGTTTCCTTCTAAATTATTATTATGATGAGCTTACTAGGGTGTCATGTCCCTTGCCACAGCAATTTGTGAACTAAATTTCTCTTTTAGCTTTCTTCTACTATATAACTATACCCGTCTTCCTTACCAGATTACAATGCCTCAAGATGCATCAAGTAGCTCGGTTCATGACACAAGGGGGCTTTCAGGTTTCCTTGCATATGTTTACATGTGTGCATTTGTGTGCAGTGATATGAATTTTACTTTGGCACGTGTATATTCATGGTATAGAGTTAAGTATAAAGTTGCATTGTGTGATTTGGAACATGTTGTGTGCTTTATCTTAATATGACAATCAAGTTTTCATGATTTATGAACATGCTTTATTGTTTGTTTCTTCCTCACCAACAAATGCTGTCCACAGTGATCATTATTGTTTGATTGTAAATCTAACCATTGAGATATAGTCCCTGTAAATAGGTATGTTTTTGTTTTAGTTCATGCAAGCCTGCTGTTAATTTATTTGTGTTGGTTAGTGGTTAGTTGCTTTTTGTATTGTTTTCTTGCTTCCTTCATTTTTCACTTCTCACACTACACTTCACTAAGCATGCGGTAACATCCTCTTTACGCGGGTAATCAGTGTAGAGGTAAGGTCTGCATACATCTTCCCCTACTACCCTACTTTTGAGTGGCGTATACAGGGATTATTTGGTTGTGTATGTAGTGGCTCAAACGGGCTACGGAGGCTCTAGGTCTTCATTTTATTCTTCAACAGTTTTAGGTAGAGTTATTCGTAGTCCACATTTATTAACTAGTTCGTTCGACATGAAACAATGAAGGAGGCAAAATATTATGGGTGAAGCCTATTGTTTTTAATCTGACGTCTATATTATCACTAGTTTGCTTGTGTGATGAATTGATGATGTTCATGTTCTCTAGAGCCATAGTTGTGAATGGCGAATGGCGAGTGGCGGGCGAGAGGTTCTTTTTTATGGCGAGAAGCGTGGCGAGTGGCGGGCGGTCAAATGGCAAACATTATATAAATATATATATATATATATATATATATATGTATGTATGTATGTATGTGTATATATATAAATATATATATATATATATATATATATATATATATAGTTTAAGTCTAAACTTTTAGTCTTAACTTTGTATCAAACATAATTATCAAAGTAAAACATGAGTTATTGGTAAAATAAAAAACAAAATATAGTACTTAAAAAGAAAGCAACATATTTAATTATAATCCTCCTCCGTCAAAACAATAAGAAAACAAAAAAAAAGTCTGAGCCGGCTCTGAGTCTGCAAAGAAGTGCGCTGTTTGGACTCAGGAGAGAGAGGGTCTGTGCCGGCTGATGAGAACTCGAGGAGGGCAGGAGGCTGAGTCGGCGAGGCGGCGAGGAGAACTTCGATCGACGGCGAAAGGGCAAAGGGTCAATCTAGTACTAGGTCAGCGCGTTTTTAAAAAAAAAAAAGTCAAGAAAAACCCTTGACCTGTGTCTGGCGTAGATGGCGAACGCCTTTCGCCATAGTGTTTAGCGTCCATGGCGACCGCCTATGGCGAGATTGGCGTAAAACGCCTCGCCAGGTCTGAAGATGGCGTCAGATGGTCGCCACACAGCCATAGGCGCCTTAGGCGAGAATGGCGAGCGCCATTCACAACTATGTCTAGAGCATTTAATTTTAAAATTTAAACCTGATGAAAATGCTCTGCATCTGTTTGGTTGGATTTTGTGATGAATCAGGAGGGGAACGCTCTTTCTCAACATTGTGCTTTGCTCTTGCTCTTCATGAAATGATTGAGTCCCCATTTCGGGCAATGGATGAGTTTGATGTATTCATGGTAAGTATTTAAGACATAGCACAAGCTCCCTTCATTATTTGTTGGATAAGTTATTAGTTTGCTGACTTGAAATTCAATTCTTCTGGATCAGGTATCCCTGCAAGCATCATTATNGCGAGCGCCATTCACAACTATGTCTAGAGCATTTAATTTTAAAATTTAAACCTGATGAAAATGCTCTGCATCTGTTTGGTTGGATTTTGTGATGAATCAGGAGGGGAACGCTCTTTCTCAACATTGTGCTTTGCTCTTGCTCTTCATGAAATGATTGAGTCCCCATTTCGGGCAATGGATGAGTTTGATGTATTCATGGTAAGTATTTAAGACATAGCACAAGCTCCCTTCATTATTTGTTGGATAAGTTATTAGTTTGCTGACTTGAAATTCAATTCTTCTGGATCAGGTATCCCTGCAAGCATCATTATTATCACCTCCTTAATCCCAAATAGGTTGAATACTTGCATTAAATTAATAGTTCCAATTGGTTGTATAAAATTAAGTAACACTATGTTAATGCAAAAAGCATAGGGGCAATGGCTTGCAGCCTTGCACCGATGGACTTCATGTCTTCACTAGAGGGAATAATGAGATGAAAAGTTCTACAACTGGTCACACCTATTTGGGACAGAGGGAGTTTGAGATTTAGGCCTTTATTGCGTATGGTGTTCGAAACCTATTTGTTACTTGCTTTGCTGAATAATAATGGACTAGATATTGATTAAATTATGGCATCAAACTTAAATTATATTTTAATATTGAAATATAATTTTATAAAAAGTGAGATGTAAAAGATTAAAGAATAATGTTATATAACTTAAGATTATATTTTAAGATTTAACTTTAAATTCGGTGCGGGTAAAAGAATCGTCATTGTAGTTCTGTCTCTACTTCTATTTTAATTGTTGTGTTCTTTCAATTTTTTCTTTTAACTTTCCAGTAGGGTAGGAATTAGGATATGTTGTTCTTTTCTTTATATTTATTTGTGTTTTTCTCTCACAATGACGATGAAGATGTTCATATTTATTTTTATTTAGAATATGATTTGTTGAACAATACAAATTTTAGGTGGTTATTTAACTTGCATTCTTAACCGAATTTTAAAGTGTTTATTCAACTTGCTATCTTAGTCTTGCTTACCACATCAGCATAACTATGACCAATTTTGTGGTTGTCGGGCTAGTGCTTGAATTTATATATCAATGAAGTGTCATTAAGTACTTTGTGGATAACATTATATGCGTACTTTGGCAAACTTTTGGACCTACTAATCATTTCTTTCAGGATGGAGATTTGGAAGTAACATTCCCTGCCATGCTTGGCAACTTGATCCGCCATCGATATTTATCTTCAAGGATATTTGAAAGAAGAGATGTCTGCCTTCATTGGCTAGCTACTTTATCCGTCATCAATATCTATTTTGTTTCAAACTTCCCAATTACAACATGAGTGCATATAGTTAGAGTTTAAGGACGTCAAAAATTTTTGGGAAAAAACTATTTTAGTATCTTTGGAAAAGTTCCAGGTATATTATTTTTTCATTTTATGCAAATCCTTATATACATTTCATATGCAAAACTTCATATCTTTATTGACAAATTCGGGTTATGTGACAAGATATGTTTAGCTTTTTGTATTTACCGGTAGTTGTGTGGGATTTAATTAGTTGAAACTTAAAGCTATGAATAGGGAATTAGTGAGAATACATACTCTTTATTTGGGAAAATCATTTATTTATACTCTAAAGATTTAGAAGACCGGTGAGTTATAGTATGCTGATTATTCTCATTAAATTATGCTTACAGGTGAGCTTCACCGCTTAGCTTGCTGTACTTCCTTTGTATGTATATCTGGGTGACCAAGGTTAAAATTGGGCACATAGTGTATGTTCCGTTGCTTTGTTTGATGTTTTAAGTAACTGAAATGCTTCCATGTATGATTTTATATTGAAGAATGAAGAGATATGTTATAAACTATAATTGAAAGAATATTAATGCAATACTTTATACTTTGGCACGTGATATAAGTGAGTAGATGATTTTTTTTTCTTTCCTCCGTATTATTTTTATTTTACTTTTGTTATCTCGACTGTTTAATCTTGCACTGCTTCTTGCACTATACAGATTAACATGGACACTATAAAAGTGAGTAACTTCAACATGCAACTTTTATTCGGACGATCACATGTCGGGCAATCTAAGGCCAAAGTGAGTTTCTTAGTTCATTTCACTATCTTTCTCTATCTTGGTTTGTTTCTTATTCCTATTTTTTGGAATTTTATCATTTCCAATTTATTGTTACGGAGTATTTGTATTTTTCTTTGGGTGTTTTAAAAAAAGCCATGCAATATTCATGATATGAGTAAAAGCCTTTTATTTGTTCAAACTTGCTTCCAAATGATATTCCTGCAAGAATGCAAAAAAAAAAAAAAAAGAGCCATTCTTCTGGATTTGTCCTCAAGCAAAAGAGGTCTGGTCTCACTTTTAAATGACCACAGGTGAAAAGAATAAGCTCTTAATAGAAATGGCGGTACTTTGCAGATTCATTTTAATCAATGGAGGTAAGTTAACTCTAAGTTTCACTACCTGCACATTGTGATATGTTATGAGTTGTGGACTCACAAAGGTATTTCAATGTATGAGTATTTAAACAACTCCACAACAAGTGTTGAATTCAAAACGTGGCAGTTGCAACACATTTTTCATTTAGGGTAAATAGCCCCCATCAAACTTAAAATTTAAAAGTTAAATTTTAAATAACTAAAAATTTGGTCATTTTTAAAATTTTATGGCCTTAATTTAAATATTAGATAATTAGAAACTTTATCAATCCCATATTCTTCACAAAAATTTAAAAGTAACACGTCCAATGATATTTACATATTAAAATCTTAAAATATTAATTACAAATTACAAAAATATCATGTGAAAGTGAAGTATTCTAAATATGACAATTAAACTAATTTATATTGTGGTTCGTCCATAATACAAGATGAATTCTATAACATGTGTTTTATCTTTTGGAAATAGTCTCTATGTAGTAAGGCTAATTTCTGCATGCACACTCCTTCCATAGACTATACAATTTGTAGGACTTTATTGGGATTTAACTGGGTTGTTGTTGTTGTTGTTATTGGGATTGTTCTATTTGGGATTGTTGTGCTTTGTATCTAAATTCTCCTCTTGGAGCGGCTACATTTCCTTATGTTTATATAGTGTTCACGCAGAGCAATGCAATGCAACAAGCTTGATGTTATACATGGAGCATGAACATCTTTGTACTTTCTAAATGAAAAGAGATGTTTATATTTAATTACATTGCTTATTTTTTTTGTCAAATTTTGTAATTTATAGACATATCAGTGACAAATCCATCAAATTCTAACAAAATGAATTATTTAGTTTCTTAATAATCGAGTTCAATTCATTTATTTTTAAGTTGTGTGTAAGTGAAATAAGTATTGTTGGTCTTTTTGTTTGCATTATTATACTAAAATGATATTCCCCCAATTAGATATTATAACATTTCGGAATGATTTCTGTTTCACTTAACTTTTTCTTGACAGTGGCGCATCTTGATGCAAATGCAATAGTAGGGAAGAAATTAAAGACTTATTTAAATATTGAAAGTTTTGTATGCTTTACATCAACTAAATCTTTGTTTAACCACTTAGTTAAATGCATAACACCCAAAATCAAAATTCCATATTACAAACATGTGCATACAACCCCAGCCTGTGCGCACAGGGTAAAAAACTAGTATATATATGTTTATATATCTCCCCTTACATTATAAGAGCCCATAGCTTTGAGCATCGTCTTTTTTTCATTTATTTCTTAACGCCGTTGATTCTGCCGCACACATCGCACTAGGCACTAGGCAGTGGCCTGTTTCAATCTGATTGTTTCAATCTGATTACAGTCCACCGAGTTCTATTTCCTTCGTTTCTTCGCCGACCAGATACACCGCTGTTGATTCTTCTTCATTATCCATCTTTTTCTTATTCAGATTTTCCCAATCTTGATATTTGCCGGTGTAGTGATGCTTCGCACATACTTCGCCCAGGTATTGCTTCTGATTTAGTTCTTCATTTCCTATGTTTGGCAGATTTTCTTTTGCTTCTTTGAGAACCTTTCTTGTTTGGTTGTTAGAAACTGATTTTTATGCTATGTTTTGAAATTTTGTACCCTACAAATATGAAATCTGAAATTAGAACACCCAAATTTGAAGGAATTGGGTGTTCAGATTTATGGCATAGAAATCTGATTTTTAACCGTTGATGCTATGTAGTACATCTTCCAATCAACACTATCACCCTGGGAAAATTGAAGTTTAAGGTGTAAATAGAAAGAAGTTGGCTATTATTTTTGAGGTTTAATCGGGGAAATTTGGTGAAAAACCAAGCCGATGAATAGGACAACATCAGTTCTTCTACTTTTTTGTTCTTTCTTCTACCAGTTTGTTTTTGGGAATTCGTGTACGTTGGCTTCGTTTGCGTTGAATTGTAATTTGCAACTCCATGGATTCAATTTAAACTATACAGCCTTTTCAATTAGTGTCAATATAATTTTTTTAATATTATTTTTTTCTCTTCTTTTTGTTCTCTCTTCCTTCTTCCAATTTGTAGTTGGAAATTCATGTACTTTCAATTTGTTAGATTTGAATTGCAACTACATGCATTGAGTTTAAACTGCATCGCAGGGGTACGAATGTAGTTATATTAAGACAGAGATGGATTGGGATGGTGGATGAGATTAGGGAAGAATGTCTCTGCTAATATACTTGGTACGTTTCTTCTAGTAGGTTTAAGCTTAAGTATTCTGTTCTTATGTTTCTTTTTCTCCTGTATCACTATTAGAATTGCATATTGGTTGGTTTTTGTTTGTGAGCGCAGAGAGCTTATCAGGAAAGCAATTTTATATGGCTTTGGTGTTGGTCTTGGGAATCATCAGCTTTCCCATCTTCATCGTGCAAACTCCAGTAATCTCTTCTAACATCTTAGTAGCTAATTGTATGTGAAAGAATGTAGATCCTTTTATCTCATTCTGAAACTTTTTGTGTTGTAAATGTGTTAGGTGACGATATAATTTATTGTTTTTATATGAATCAGTGTATGGATATGGAGGATTGGTTTAGAGAATCACAATAAGCAATTAAAGAATCTGCGTGAAACGAAGCCACGCGACCCCGACTCAATGGCCTCTCTCTTGCTTGATGGCCACCAAGGCCCCTCGGGTAAGAAATCAGCTCATTCGCTTTTTCTACTTCATCTTTGGAGATTAGGCATGCTTGAGTTGTGCATTCTCTATGCGGGCATAGTAGGGTGGTGTGCCAATCAGTACCATTTCTCCGCTGACAACCATGTTCACCACCTTCTCCTCCAACGTAAGTATTTCCGATTTCAATACTTCAATTATCTAATTCTTCGGCATCAAAATTCACACCCAAATTCAGTCTTTCGAAAGTATGAGTTTTGTTTTACTACATACTTTTTAGCACTAAATCCTACTTGAACATGTAAATGTCTATTTGCCTCATGTATCTAATGGCTCGCTATCATTTGTTTATGTAGTTAACAGTACTCAGGGCCTACATTTTTCTCTATGGGAGAGGCTATTTGGTATGTTCTGATACATAACTACATTTTTTTATCACTAAGTCATGGTTATTAAGGCGTCGCCTAATCGACGCTTAGGCAGTAAGGCGGTCTGCCATGGATGCCTTAATGGACGAATCCCATCTGATGTACTGTAGTTGTTAAATTTTACAAGCTATATTCCTGATGGATGCACCTGAATTTCTTGTCTCAGGCGTAATCTGGGGTTGGTGAAACGATTCAAGAAAGAGCAGATATATTTGATAATGCTGCACTAAATGCTGCTCTCAATGCACAGTTTCTTTTTCAGATTGGTGTATTTAGTGCAGTGCCAATGATTTTGGGTTTCATCTTGGAACAAGGATTCCTGAGAGTATGTTATTCATCTCTTGATTTTCAGCTGTTATCATTTCTTCAAAATGGCACTATTTTTTCAAAAAGTTTCTGTTTTGTATAATTGTTATTCATTTCTTTGGAAATAAATGCCAGATCATCGTGCCTGCCAATTTTGCGTCTGCATTTTGTATTCAAAAAACATCAACATTAAACCAAGCCTAATCCCAACTCCGTTGGGGGGTGTGGGGAGTCAAGATGTACGTAACCTTACCCTTTAAGAAAGCAGAGGCTGTGTCGTTAGACTCTTGATGTGTTGATGCATTAAAACGCCATTGGAAGTTAAGAGACAAGAGAAGTTCAATTTTTCATTTTGATTTAGTTCATTATGTTCTCAAAGCTTAAACATTGATTTAGCATGTCTGACAATGTTTCTTCCCACATGACTCGAAGCTAAATTATTGGACAAACTAAATATTTTATATACTCCCTCCATTTAATAATTTTGTTCTCAGTTACCTTGGGGCTTCCCATTTCCTTATTTGGCGTTTTTAAAATGTAAAGTGTTGTACTCACAACATATTTTCTCCAATTTCATTCACACCCTCCCCTGCCCATTTTGCGTAGCCACATTTTCTTTGCATCTCGTCTTTCTCCGTTCTTTCTTCTAACATCATCATCATCATCATCTGTTCAACTATCCCCCTCGTTCCAAACTTGTCTTCTTCCACCCAACATCCTCCTTCAAGTCCTCGTCATCTTCTTTATTTCAACTCGTCTTCCTCCCCTTTTGAGCAGGACCTAAGGCGTAGCATGGCATTGCATCTCCGACGGAGCTGCACTGTCGGGTGGTGTCATCTCCGTTGGATCTCACCGGACGGTGTAAGTGTGTAAACCATGCTTGATTTGGATGGATCTAAGGGTGTAAGCAAGTGCGGATATTCTTGATTTGAGGGTTTAAGCTGTGATGGCTCTCTGTCAGATCTAAGGACTCTGATTCAAGTTTGTGGTGATGGTGGTCAGCAGCGACCGCTATTCCAGTGGCGGAGTATGCCCTGGAGTCGCGATTCATGGGGGCATGGCCGGATGGAACGAGCCGCAAGTTCTTGGAGGTGGGCTGATGGCGTAGAGTAGTAGATAGAGACGGTTGGGTCCAGGGTATTTTAGGAAAGCCAATGTCATCTCACAAAAACTTGTGAAGAAAAAAAACTTTTCTAAATGCATTTAATTAGTAAATTTTTTAAAAATATATTACTACATAGTATGTTGTAAATATATTACTACATACTTTGTAAATGTATTGGAAAAATTTGTGATCATATTAAAATTATAAAATGTTATTGAAAAATATTACTTAACTTTAAGAATACTGATCTCTTCAAGATCTCAGGTAAAGTATGAAAATTTTGTNAAAAAAACTTTTCTAAATGCATTTAATTAGTAAATTTTTTAAAAATATATTACTACATAGTATGTTGTAAATATATTACTACATACTTTGTAAATGTATTGGAAAAATTTGTGATCATATTAAAATTATAAAATGTTATTGAAAAATATTACTTAACTTTAAGAATACTGATCTCTTCAAGATCTCAGGTAAAGTATGAAAATTTTGTTAACCTTTTCATGTTTGTGACTTTCATGTTTCTTTTATGTGCTTATTGATGAGTGTGCTCTTCTATCTTTTTCCTAAGACTATATTGTTTTCAAAATCACATGCATTTCTCGTATTGGCTCCTTTTATTCTTTCACTGCAGGCAATTGTTAGTTTTGTAACAATGCAGTTTCAACTTTGTACCATGTTTTTCACTTTCTCTTTAGGCACAAGAACACATTACTTTGGACGGACTATTCTTCATGGTGGAGCTAGGGTATGTTTGCTATTAAGCTCTACATGCACATGTTACTCTAACTAACATTAGCTTATCAAATAACTTTTATTATTTTCAACAGTATCAAGCAACTGGTAGGGGCTTTATTGTTCGACACATTAAGTTTTCTGAGAGCTATAGGCTCTATGCCCGCAGTCATTTTGCCAAGGGGTCTCTCTCTGTCTCTCTCTCGTATACTGTTCTTTTGTAATTATGTCCCTATGGTTCCGCATACGCATGCATTTTAATATATCATGCTTATCCCTACTCTAGGGAAAGCTCTAAATATTGTTATTTCACTTTTTCAGAATGGAGGTTGTACTTTTGTTGGTTGTACACCTTGCGTATGGCTTTAGCACAGGTGCTTTTTCGTACATTCTTCTCACGATTAGCAGCTGGTTCTTGGCTATTTCTTGGCTATTTGCACCATATTTGTTTAATCCATCTGGCTTTGAGTGGCAAAAGTAAGTTTACCTCGCTATGCTTCCACACTATACATAAGCTTTTGTGTTGTTTCATTTTAAAAGTTCATTTTCTGGCCCATTGGAGGACGGTGGAGGACTTCAGAGATTGGACAAACTGGCTTCTGTATAGAGGTGGAATTGGAGTTAAAGGAGAAGAAAGTTGGGAGGCTTGGTGGGATGAGGAGCTGGTATAGTAATTTTTCTTCTAGCTTAATGCAATCTTGCCTATTTCAGTTATTTTTTCTTATCTTCTCTACTTTCTTAACAGGCTCATGTTCGAACATTAGGGGGGAGGCTGATGGAGACCATTCTTAGTTTAAGGTTTTGTATATTTCAATATGGAATTCTATACAAGCTACATTTATAGGGAGATAATACATATCTGACGGTAGAGTTCTCACAACTGAGCTTTCGTTCTTTATTTACACTTGATCCATATAATATAACTGACTTTTGCTTAATAATATGGTCAATCAATTGCTTGCCTTAACTTTTTTAGGTTTATGGGTTTTCATGGATTGTATTTGCGGTGCTTTTGATCCTCTTCAAGGTTAGACCACACATCATTGAGCACTCTGATCTCACAAATTCTATACTAATAAATTAAAGGGTTGAATATCGCGTGTACTAATATCCTTATCTATACTGTGGTTTAATAGGTGTTCACATTCAGCCAGAAAATATCAGTTAATTTCCAGTTGTTGCTGCGCTTTGCCCAAGGCCTTTCCTTTTTGCTTGCACTACTGCTGTTGCACTTACTGACCTATCTATTGCGGATGTATTTGCATGCATATTGGCTTTCATACCCACTGGATGGGGAATTCTCTGTGTAAGTAGAATGAAAACTATCTCTCTCAGTAACTTTACCATTATGTTTGGTTCAAGGAATTTGAAAGGAAAAGAACTGAAATGAAGTGGAAGACAGTTTTTCTTGTTTGGTTTGAGTGGAAAAGAAAGGAAAAGTGGGAGGAAAAGAAAATGAGAAGACAAAATATATTAAGTGTAAGTAGAATGAAAACTATCTCTCTCAGTAACTTTACCATTATGTTTGGTTCAAGGAATTTGAAAGGAAAAGAACTGAAATGAAGTGGAAGACAGTTTTTCTTGTTTGGTTTGAGTGGAAAAGAAAGGAAAAGTGGGAGGAAAAGAAAATGAGAAGACAAAATATATTAAGTGGAAAACAAAATTCCTCCCACTTTAGTGAGGAAAGTAAGAGAAAAATCATTTTCTTTTCTATTTCTTCCAAATTCCTTGAACCAAACATATTGTACATGTTTGGTTCAATAATTTTAAAATGGAAAAGAAAAAAAAGATAATGGGATGGAAAACAATATTTCATGTTTAGTTAGGGAGGAAAAGAAAAGAAAATTGGAATGAAAAGACAATGAGAAGGCAAAATGTACTGAGGAGGGAAAGCCAAATTCCTCCCCTTTCGGGAGGACAATGAGAGAAAATCGTTTCCTTTTATTTTCCTTCCAAATTCCTCGAACCAAACATAGTGTTAAAGAAGCAATCTTTCCTTGTACCTTTTGTTGAAGATTGCATGTAAAATTCAAAAGTTTAAGCCTATCAAACCCTTATTGGGAACAGTTTTTTCATGTTATGGCAAGTTTGTTTGTCCAATGTAGAACACTGTTAGCATGCCAATCGTGTTTTACTACTTAACACCGGTGTGTTTAATGCATTTATTCAGATTGCATCAGCATGGAAACCTCTGGTGAAGAAAATGGGAATGTGGAAATCCATTCGTTCAATTGCCCGTTTATACGATGCTAGGATGGGTATGATTATCTTCATCCCCATTGCATTCTTCTCCTGGTTCCCATTCGTTTCAACCTTCCAAACCCGCCTCATGTTCAACCAAGCTTTCATTATCTTAACAAAACTAAGTTTCAAGGTAGGACATAAACAAACATAAATACAAAGAGGAGTGCATAAGAAACCGATATCCTTCAACTTCAAGCAACAAAATGTAAAAGAGCGCAAGCACACAAACAACATATTAAAATATTTGAGTCCATATTTTGCAGTATCAACTATCGTCATCCAATATTATGCCATCATGATGACACGACTCTCTGTCATTGTGGTGTCATTAGTAGTGAGATAGATTTGTCCGTAATCATCACAAACATTTTCAAATTTCTGGACCCAGACGAATGAGGGCCAAATTCAATTTTAAATGCCATTTTTCAAATCTCATGCAGTAGGGATGGTTAGGTTGCAGGGAGTTCTTAAATTATTAGTTCACCAGTAGTCAACATCATAATTTTTTGGGGGAAGATAGCTCATTGCTCAAGAGTCAACACATTCAAAACTAAAAAAAGGGCCAGGATCTTTTGACATTGATGTATTTCTTGCGTTGAAAAATACATTGGAATTCAACGTCTTTTGTTTGGAATATCCTTACTAGATGCTAGCAACACTAATGCTTTTTCTTAAAGGAAATTTACTTATATATTACTATATCATAGTTATTTTCCCGATGTAGTACTTAATGTTTTAAATTCCCTTAATAGTACTTAAATTAATTTTTACAGTAATTATTTAATATTAGTCCAAAAATACAAAAATACCCTTCGCTGGTAACTACAGTTTGCATTTTAGAACTGGCCTTTCCCTCTCTCGCCCGTACCGCCATATCTGTCCTCCAAAATAGGGGTTTAGGTACTATAATTAAATTCTATTTAGGGAATAAAATGTTTTAGGTACTATATATATGTGTGTGTATATATATATGTATATATGTGTGTGTGTGTGTGTCTATATATATGTATATTTGTGTGTATGTGTGTCTATATATATATGTATATATATTTATATTTATTCACACTCCCTTCGTCCCCCTAAGATGTTCTCATTTTGACTTGTGGTGGTTTTTAAGGAGAGTTGAAAAAAGGTGAAAATTTACCATAATATCCTTAATGAAAATGAGGGAAGTGTATTAAATGAGGTGGGTGGGGTGTAATAAATAAAGTAAGGGAGGGGGTAGTTGTGGTATTTTAATTGTTAAAAAATGAAATGAGAAGATCTATTGTGGACAAAGAAAAAGGGCTATTGGGAAGATATATGGGGGATGGAGGGAGTATATATATATATATATATATATATATATATATATATATATATATATATAATATACATATATATATATATATATATATATTCTGAATTTACAATTTAGGTTTGTTTCCAAAATTCGATTTTAATTTCGAATTTGGTTGGTTCGAAATTTCCAGAGTAAATTAGTTTCCAAATTTTGAATTTAATTTTATTAAGTTAAATTAGTTCTTGATTTTTTTCTTCCAAATCTTGGATTTCAGACCACCAAGCGTTTGTCATACTGTGAAAATTTGGGATTTTTTTCCGTAAAAAAATAAGAGGAGTTGGAGGGTGATGCTGATTTTATTGTTTGTGTTGAACTGCAGCCAGTGGTACTCCACGTGTTTTATACTCCGTATGTTTTGCTTTTAATTTGTGGAATGGTCTCTTTCAATGTAGACAGCTAGAGGGCATTTTTTTTCTGTTTCTAGCCATCCCAGTGAAGCAAAGTAATGGTCTACGAAACATGTTATAATGTTACTGACAACGCTTGGAACTTATTTGTTTAACACTTGATAAAGAGCTTTCTATCAAAATGTCATCTTTATAAAAGCAACCTATGAATCCTTCCATTTTAAATTTATACTTGTGTTTCATGCCGGATTTTGAGTTAAAATTGACTGTACAAAGCTTTTTTTTACGAATTTCACTACGTCTTTATATATAGTCATATACCGATTTGGCAAGTAGAAAGTATAATGCGGAGTAGATTTTTTAACAAATTTTACTTTGGTGTAAGCTACGTTTATGAATCTTAGGTTGATTAATAGCGGGATTCAATACCTAATTTAGATTTGTATTCTGCATAATTAAATTAGGGAAGAAAGTGAAAGAAAGCAACCAGATCGTTGTCCAAACATCGGTTATTCTTCAAATAAAGTTTAATTGGGTTTCAAATTGCAGCCTAGAGGTAATTTTAATTCTTGATTTCTTCCTAGCGGAATTACACAGTAGAGGCAATTTCACTTCTTGATATCTTCTTTATTTCTTCTTGGAGTTCTTTTTCAAATTAATTTTGACTAATTACGGATTAAGGAGCAATTAATTTCATACTTGAGGAAATAGTCTAAATAAAGTGTATAAAAAAACTCCGTAGTAGAAAATTAAACATTAGCTTCTCTAATTGATTTACCCCATGTTGGGTGAATGATGATGCTGAATCAATTGAACTATGAGGAGGTTTGTCAACTACGTAGTACTACATAATTCTTCTCAAGTGTTTCTAACTATTTCTTGAATATTTATGCATCAATCAAAAACTAATGTCTGCATTTTTACTGTGTTATTATTTACATATATAGAGTTATGAAGATGTTACATATTTACGATCATTTTGGCGCAGAGATAAATGTTGGGAAACTAAGTTCTGCCCTAAAACGCTTAGGATTCAGCTCTTCTTCTATTCCGCAGATGATCAGCCAGGACGAAAGTATCGCTGCGTCATCCATTTTTTGTGCAAAACCAAAATGTAAGTTTCTTTAAATCTTAATTTACACATCACAGAAAATAATGGCTTATTTAGTCATTCAAGCTTATTTTAGGCGTATTGTTTTCCGAGCTTCATAATTTTTTTTTCATACGTGTCAATGACCATCCATCGTTTTTCGAAAATTACTCCAATGAGTGAGTGTTAGAGGATCATGGTTCGTGTCATAAGACTATATACTTTACCTATTTTTAATGATGAGAAGACTACGAATTCTATTGAGATGGTGTTCATGGACGAACATGTAAGTAAAAGTATCGTAATTCACCTTTATTCTTTCTCATCAATTACATTATGCCTATTATTGGATAATATCTTGAATGATAGTTGTTTCCATGTATGATGTTAATTGAACCACATATTACAACCACTGTTGCACAGATTATAAAATGAGTTTTGTTAATTCACATTTCGTAGGGAAATCATAAGAAAGTTTGAGTTTATAGTTTCTTTTATTGACGATTCTATTACAGGTTTCAGATGAGCGTTCTTAGATCTTATATGATTCACTCTTAATGTGATTGTTTCCCCAAGATTTTTAGTTAAATTACCATATTGCATTATTGCTGATATACGGATAGTGTGGTCTTATTTGTTGCCTGTGGATTATAGTTTCTTTCATTTCTGAGAGTTTGATTCATGTGGATTTTAGTTTAATATAAAATTTGATGTACTGTTAGTGTGGTCCTATTTGTTGCCTGTGGATTATATAGTTTCATAGAATTCTGAGACAAAAGTCAATTAGCAAGCAATATTTAACATACTAGAAAGCCAAAATCATATGGAGCTGGTTTAACCCCACAATTTTTCATGTTCTTAAAACATAAAACACTGTTGCACAGATTACAAAATGAGTCTTTTTTAATCCATGTATGACGTTAATTGAACCACGGTGTTAATTGAATTTATATCTGGTACTATCTAGAATGTCAATGTATTGTTTCAAGCTACATGTTGTCCAAACAGTGTTTAAAAGATGTATATTATTTTTACAAACTTACACACTCAGAAAAACAAGCTTAACAGGCCAATAAGAACATAGTTGCTGCATGTTTATACAAGAAATAGATGCTTCCTGTTTATACAAAATAATCTTAGAGACTATTTATTGAAAAATCAATCCTGACTCAGTGCATGATTATAAAATCATACTTGCTGCGTGTTTAAGTAACTACAGACACTGCCGTCTTATAATATCTTACCACTTACTGCATGTGTATACTTGATTTTGTGTGACTTGCTTTGGGAATCATCTAACACAAGTAACAAATTTGTATTGTTATTTCATAATTAGTTGTTGCTCACTAGAGTTGAGGCAATCGGGAAAATACTTGGGCAATATGCAAAAAAAAAAAGAGAAAGAAGACAAAGGGATGAAATGCCAAAAAGAATGACAGGTGAATAAGCTTTAATATGTTTTCAATTTTCTATGTTTTTACCTACTCTTCCAATTTTATGAAGTTATATTCATTGTTTAAAATATGTTTTATTGACAATTTAGTTCATGTATTGTTTGATTTAAAATGACTTTGGGTTTATATGTATGTATTCATGGAGCAAAAACTAATGATTTTGGCTTTGGTCAAGGTTGCTTTGATAGGAGATGATAGTACTCTGAAAAATGTATATTTTGCTTCACTGTTTTGAATGTATCATGATTTAGATCATCCTAAGTCTTCAATTTCATATCTCTCCTATATACACAAGCAATATGTTTTATGTGGCAGGAACAGTGTCACACGTTCTGAGTATTTCACGACTTCAAACATCAGTTCTAGGCTTCATGCATCACGATATTAAAAATGGATACTCTGTGTTAAAAACAGCCCCAACCTCTTAATATTTCACAAATCAATTTCATTCGCGTCCAGCATCCTACCACTCAAGCAGAATGTGCGAGGAGAGTGCACGACCAACTGTAAGGTTCAAAACCCTAGCACACGGAACAACAACGAGCAGAGGCGACAGAGGAGGAACATCAAAGGCCATCGTCCTTCGACACACATACCATGGAGCAATGATTTAAATGAAGAATGTCGCAGATTGAGAAACATCCATGTTCTTCTCAGAAAACTGGTATTTTTTCAACTTTCTATTTTGTTGAAGAAATAGAAAAATACGATTTAGAGCGAGTATATGATTTTGTACAGGTATTTTCGTTACCTATTTGGCCCAAGTTGAAAGAATAACATAATTATGGTTTAGAACCAGTATATGATTTTGTCTATGTGGACTTTTAGTGGATTGCTTTATCTGCCAATAAAATTGTGCTCAATAAATAGTTTGCCGAGTAGGTTGTGTTGACGGTCGATACGGTTGATCCATTTGTTTTTATCTTTTCTTACATGTTTAGGGTCTTCAAAGATTTAAGAAAAATCTGAACTGTTTTACATCCTATTTTAATTGAAGGACGTGTTATAAACCCTTACTTGGAGCTTGATGTCATCCAATCTACCGATAATGTAACAGGAATTCTCAAGCAGGAAAACTTAGCGTAGTTTCAGTGGGCAATTGGCATATGCAGCAGACGCACAATCTCTTGACACCACGATCTCACCATACAGTTCTATTATTTCTATCTGTCTCAGATAAGGCCGATGCCTATTTCTATGAGCTATAAAAGCAAAGCGAGACAATTTTGATGGATATAGATTTTGGCAATGATGATGCTTTTTGCTTCCGGTAAGGTATGCTTCTTTAGAGAAGTGCTTCCGGCAAGGTATGCTTCTTTTGAGAAGTACTCCCCTACAATCAAAATGATTTTGAGTCCATTAATATCATCCAATTTGGGTATGGGGAAACTTACATAGTTACATTGATATGACTTCTCATCTTTCTGATTTAAAATTAGGTAAAGACGACAATACGAGGGTGTAGGATGTCCTTCACAAGGCTGACTCAG